TTGTTCCATTTTTCAAGGCTACAATTCTAGGCAACTACCACTTTATCTTAAAGCTTGATTAAAGCTGCTCATGAGTAATCTGACACATGCTATGAATGTTATTCCTGAGGGGAACAAATGGATTATTCAAGGGCACACTGGGAAACTTCTGGATAGTCTCAGTATAGAGTGTGCGGTGGCCTTTTTGGGAACCTGAAGGCAATCTGACTGCTGGCCTGGCAGGCAAGTTAGGCAGAGAAGCAACTCGCTGAAGCAGGATTAGTCTGTATCTCTCCAGGAAGCAGTAAGAAAATCAGAATATTAGCTAAGCCTTGAGTCACTGGAAGTTTCTTTTGCATTATTTGTACCTATTGTTATCTGCTGCTCCTCTACCATATCTCGGATGCTGAAGGTGACTGTTGTCTCAAGGAAGCATCTCAAGGATGGTGATTGTTTGCTGAGCGGGTACCCGCAAGCAGAAAGTACTCATGGGAGCAGTGGTTGAGCGCCAAGTTAGTGACAGGTTACTGCTGGAAGGGACACCAAATCTGTGGTACATTATTGATTTTCTGTACAATGGTACCTGACCTGTGAAGAATCTGTAATCTCTGTATTTTTGTTCTGTGTTAGCAAAAGGCTTTTAATCTACTGCTTTCCTTACTGTGAGCCCCTGTAGGTAAAATCTGCTTTTCTAAGTTTTGAGTCTTGCACTTCCAAAATGATTTATTGGGTTTTGATATTTTAATACAATCTTGCATTAACATGGGTTTGCTTTTTCGCAAGCATCTTTACAACAAACACACTACACAGAAAATTAAAGCTTATTAAAAACCAAGTATCTAAAGAATAAAAACGTCATTGGGACATCCCTGGAAGTACCATCTCCCAGAAGCCAGAGAAGTCAACAGCAGATTTGTGCCAGAGCATTAGTAGATGGATGACATTTGCCCCTATTTACTGGTTTGGCTGCCTCACTACAGTTCCTGCTTCACGAAATAATCTTTCAAGAATGGAAACTATCATGAGAAACATCAACTAGGCAAGTATTACTGACACCTACAGACTGATTTACACTGGCAATGCACTGAAAAACACAAATGAAAGAATAGGAGTCTACAGACTTCAGTGAAAAGGATTTTATCTGTATCAGTGCCACTGGTTTATAATCCCTGAAGACCTGAGATACAGTGTTGATGAAAAGAGAATTGTTGTAAATGCCTCACATCTTCCATCAAACCTCTCTTCTACTGAACCCAAAAAATGCTGGTTATGGCACTGACAACTCTGCCAATGAAGCTGTAGCGCATAGCTATTTTTACAGCAGGGCTGTAACAAAATGAGATGGGGATTCAAAATGAACACCTAACACACTAAGCATCGCCTCTGGCTGAATGGTACTGAAATACTTTATTCATGTTTATGGTCCATTACTGTGATCGGTGGAGGTCTGTTAGCGCTGAATAGGACTGAATACATAGGACTGAATTGGTTAAACACTTAAATAGACACTAGGAAAACCGAAATCACAGTGGAACCTGTACAAAAACAATGTCTTTTTACCACTGTTAAGTCATTGCAGCCCATTAGTTGAAAATCAGTAAATAGTATGTAAGTTCTGCAACATTAACAGTACTCCTTAGCTATTGACAGCACAGACTCAACCATGGCAAAGTACGCAATTACATCCCAGAAATACCTGTGTAGTCACATCTAAAAAAGATTAGGTAAACAACAGTATTGTTTGCACTTATGCTAGATGCAAGAAGGACATGCCTCTTAAAAAAATCGATATAATCAGCCTCCATCAAGATTGGAGACTGCTTGCCTGTCACCACCAGCAGGAAGTCCCAGGATCAGTAGTATATGACCAGGACGGATGACTTCCATATGCAAACATTTGAAAATGCTTATACTAGGAGACAGAAAAAATTTATAAAACTAGTTTTAAACCAGTAACATAGTGCTTTGGTAGTTTCATCAAAGCCTTACTTTTATGATTTTTAGCTTCTTCCCAATTACCCGTTACTACCACTTCCTAAATGGCAGTTCTAGCCAATACCTACATTCAGGTTAACGCACAATTTATAAACTGGAATGGAAATTGCTCCCTATATCCCTGACCATAGCAACAACCCCAGCTCTGACAGAGGAGCTCTTTACACTGGGAAAGTACATACCTCTTTCTTTCAATGTCTCCAGGGCGTGATTTCCTCAGCAGATGTGTTAAAACAGAACAAGAAGAGAGACTATAAAGTTTTAATGGAATTCAGGATGCGGGTGGTTTTGCTGTTGCACAGGTAAGCAGATGATGCACATCCCGCTAACCCAACATGGGGAAGGAAGAACAGTTAATGCTAAAATATATCCTTTCGTTAATCTCTAGTGAAAAAATAGCCCCAGTTATGCTGAAGAGTTGCAGCTAAGTTTCTAGCGCTGCTCCAGAAATCTCAACCAGCATTTACTGTTTGCTGTTTCAGAGTGCCACCTCATGGTGAGGAACACGCTCGATACTCCAGTTTACCCGGCTGCTGCATACTTGGGAACTCCACAATCAGAGTTCAAATTACCCGAGACTACCTAGCAGCAGATAGATACGCAGGTTTCTGCAAGATGCAAACCTTTCCTTCCCCTTCCTGGTCATCCTGCGGAACAACTCTTCTTCCAGCTCGCCCCACTAACAGCGTCGAGCTGCTCTACTTTTGCATCTCTGGTGTACTTCTGGCAGTGGGGTTGTTTCTTATTTAATTTTTTTCTAACAGAATTGAACGGCATGACCTGGGTCAGCACTAACAGGCCTTGCTCACTAATTGCTTAGGACATTTTTATCCTAAGGCCTCATTCTTGTAGATTACTGAAGCTTACTACTTACTTTAAAATAACTACGCGCTTTACCTACCACAGTTCATAGAGCAATCTAAACAGAACAAACAATGGCAGGTTTGTTTCTGTTTCTTCCCTCTTCCTTCTGATACAGATCAACGCAGTTAGTGCTCCTTCGCTCATTCCTGACATCCGATTACTGATGAAAAAAAATTATTTCCTGTAAATTATTTCCCTAACAGACAGATTCTAATTCTTTCCTTCTTCCCCCTGAAGATTTTTTTATTTACTTCTTGCGAACCTCTGGAAAAAAAATAAAAATAAAATCAGTGCTCTTGATGAGACTGCCTTCTCTAATAAAGCAGGTAATAGATTTGTTAATCTATTCAAATGTCAATAAGCCTAGCATACTCACGGAAAACAAAGTTAAACTTCTGACTATCCCCCACAGTGAGCTGTCATAGACAAACAAGTAGAAAACGTTAACATAAAACACTCAGCAATATTGCAAAGTACACATTTTAATCTGCACCATTTTCATCAGTTTGGACTCACTTGTCTCTTAAGCAGCAGACAAGCATATCTGCAGTTTTAGCTGAGAGCTTACACAGCCTGCTTCCATCACTACTTTTCCTGAGGCAGCAATCTTTCATCATTCGATAGTATTTTGTAATTTTTCTGTACGGACTAATCCATCTGTATTAAGCCTTACTCTGCAGACATTCTGTATTTCTAGAATCCCCTTCGCCAGCTGTTCATTCTGCCATTTGTCTACCTGCATCTGGTGGCAACTCACAGGTAAGGCTTCAGAAAACTCCTCAAATTTAGGACAGTCCATTTATGAGTCATTACATTTTCATACAAATTCCCCATTTTGGCCAGCATTATTTATTAGCTCATTTTTTCTGGATACAGAATTTTTGCTATGTGGCAATCCAATTTTCCTGTGTTTAGAAACTTCTTTGACATGTATTTTTTTAAATTTTCTTCTCAGCAATGCAATAAAGAACCACCCAGATGGCAGCCACATCCTTAACCTTAATTTTCCAAAGACAACAGCAACTAATCACTAGGTAAGACTAGTAGTAATCTAGAACTCAGTGGCACTGTTCTTCACCTCACACTTCTTTCAAGAAAGGCCCTCTCTGGTGTAACTTTCCTTCCTTCAGCTCTGTGGTCACACTATGAACAGCAGCAACTGTTCCTTCTGTTTTCGAGGAAGGAGATGGTAAGGAGGAAAGACGCATCTCATTTTCCACTGCAACAAAAGGGCTGTAAGGAAATGAAAGGAACTGCAAGAGATGCGGTTTAGGTCTTAATTCGGGCCTTTTAACCACTGAGAAAGGCAAGTAGTAGCGATGGTCTAGGACTAATAACCTCCTCCCACACCCCTTTTTGATCAAGCATTAGCATGGTCTATTTTATCTGTAGTGAACAGGGTTTTTTGCCTGAAGCCAAAGTGACATTTAATTTATCCATCACTCTCTTCTGTACATTCAAGTCTCCTGTAGAAGATGAGGCACTTATTTGGACTGTTCCATACTGATTAAAGAGGCAGTGGACTAGCAACCCTCTCTTATGAAAGGTCACAGCAAATATGTACTCTTACTGACTGAATGCTGTGTGAAAAACAAAACAAAACAAAAC